GTCACAGGGTCTGGATAAGTAGGGGAGGAGTTGTCAGTCACATTGCAGAGGGGTGAGAACACTTGGAATTTCTACGTGAACACACACTCCTAGCTCCCAGCTGCATTCTCTACCTGCCTAAATTCTCATGAGCTCCGGAGCATCCTAACAGAGTCATCAGATGTTATGCCTGCCTAACCCTTGGGGTAGAAGCTTGTCATGTTCTCACACAGCAGTGAGCAGCCTGGAGGAAAACTAGACTCATAGTGAGGTGTGTGTACACCTGGCCATGCTACCAAGTCTGTATCACATATCCAGCCCCCTTTTCTTCCCAGGCTACCTGTTTGTATGTTGTTGTTAAGTGTCATCGAGTCGTAGGCAACTCATGGCAACCCTATGAATGAAAATCCTCTACTTTTGTGTGCGTGACTTTCATCCTTTCTCCAGGTCCTTAGGGTTTGTATAGTATTTGTTATTCTATATAATACACAGCTCTGCTGGCCTAGTGGCAAGAAGCTGTGCTGCAATCCCAAAGACATGTGGTCCGAGGCCACCAGCTGCTCTATGGGAGAAAGATGGGCAACCCCTCCCGTGTGATTAGCTGCCTCTGAAAACCTGCTAGAGAGTCAGCTATGGGTCGATTTCAAAACAACAACATCTGACTAATCGAACTCCACCCAGAAATGACACTTTGCCCTCCGAACCCTCTATTAATTTTTTAATTGTGATTTGAGTGAAAGTTTACAGAGCAAATTGGTTTCCATTCAAGAATTCATATACCTTGTCCTGTGGCATGGATAACAACCTCCCACATTGTAATATCAGCCTTCCTACTTCCTCCTTATATCTCCTGTTTCCATCCATCCTTCCTTCTTCTGCCTTCCTCCCTTCTGACCTTTATGCCTGGACTAATGCTGCCCTTTTGGTGTTATTTGTTTGCTTGTTCTAAGAATTGTTGTTCCTCCTAGGTGTTAATGTGCCACTTTATAGGTTTTTCTATTGTTGGCTGGAAGTTCTTAAACGTCTTTTAGATGGAGAAGTGAATAGCAATGACATAACCAAAATTTTTGTGTAAGTAAGAAAAAACAAACCTCAAGCTAAATGTCCATAACTTGGACAAGTATATTATTTTCATGCAGTGAACAGATAGGCAACAAGAAGGTACAGAGTTGCGCTGCCTGTAACAATACAGATGAATTTTACAAATAGAAATAAGAAATTGCAGCAGAATAGCATTTATATGTAAAGTGTTTAAACTTTACAAAGCATACTTGATAATGTTAAATATCAAGATGTATATGAGAATGAGAAACATGTTTGGGAAAGGAAGGAGAATAAAATTAGAAAGTACTACAGTGGGGATTTAAGCTATGAATAAACCCTTAAAAAGAAGCTCTAAAAATAATTTATTCTTGGTAGTTTTCAGTACTGTAAAGAAACTGTTCTTTATAAACAGGTATGTTATTTACCCAATATATGAATAAAGCCCATCTAGATACTAAAGGTTGTTTGTTGTTGCTATGTGCCATCGAGTCGTGACTTATAGTGACCCTATGCACAACAGCCCTAAACCCTACTCTATCCTTTGCCAATCTTATTTTCTCTGACATGCCCATCCCCATTACCCCTGTGACAGAATCAATCCATCTCATCAAGGGTCTTTCTCTCCTGTGCTGTCCCTCCACCCTCCCAAGCATAAGAATAATAATTATTTTTTTTAAGGTCTGTGGTGAGTATGTGGCTATTAATGATATTATTTTCTATACCTGAAATATTTTTGTATATCTGAAATATTTCATAATAGGAATCATTTAAAACTGATGGGAATCTTTATTTAAAGATAAAAATAGTTTTTGGCATATTCTTAGGCCCTCTCATGTCCAGTTTAGTCCTCTGAAATGAAGACTGACCATTGAGAGTGGAGAGGGGCCGCAGAATGTTGAGCCATCAGAAAGATATCACTAGTCTCACTGTCCCGTTCTTATGTGGACAAGGAAGTAGATGACAGCTTAAGGAATACTTCCCTCACAAGGTTGTGGTGAATTAGAAGAGAGGTTTGCAAGTCTGACAGCTCCTGAGTGGACCTGGGCCTGCAGAGTTGTTGTCTGGCCTGCATGATGCTTTTCAGAAGGAATGATGCTGGTTTTTAGGAGACTTCTTAAAAGGAGCTGTGCTGACTCAATGGATAAGTGCTTGACTGCTAATCCAAAGGCTGGCAGTTTGAACTTCTGCAGAACAGATCCAAATGTTGGCAGTTTGAGCCTCTACAGAACAGACCTGGTGTTGTAGTAAAGATTATAGCCTGACAATGTATAAAATAGCAGCTCAGTACCACTTAGAGAAAAGAAGTCATGGAGAGGTGCAAGTAGTTAGAGCAAAGAGAGTTACAGCAACAAAGGTACATACTACGCTTTCACAGGCTGGCGTTACCCGCAATGATAGATGTTAATCCACAAGTGTGATTAAGTGAGTAAGACCACACCCACGGTCACACGCATTTAGCAGATAATATTTCTACATACTATAAGCACATCCATGTATATAGCAGAGTAGATAGGACACACTTAGGAAACCTTCTTAGCCATAACCAAATACCTGGAAAGAATGAGTCTGCGAACCTAGGAGCCCAGGTCCGTAGTCACAGGAGGTGTCAAGGTCAAAGAGCATCACATAGTCCATAATGACAGTTATTTTACATCCTAGAAGGGTGCTCTGGTGGGCTATTGAATAGGGAGTTGTGCTGCCAGCCCAAAGGCTGGTAGTTCAAATCCACCAGCTGCTCCTTGGGAGACTATGAGCGGTCTCCTCCTGTGTGATTTACAACCTCTGAAAACCCACTGGAGGATCAGCAATGAATTGGTTCCAGCTCGATGATAATGAATGAGTGACTTCACTTAGTAGCAACTGGGGTCTTCACCACTTGTGAGTGGCTGTCTAAGATGCCACTTATTGTGCCCTCGCCATCTGGGCAAAGAAGACTGAGGAAAATCAGACTGTTAACCACGAGGATTATCAGACCACTCCAACGTCAGTCAGTCTCCGGGATCCTGTGACCAGAAGTTCCTGGTGCCTGGTTGCCAATGTTTACTGCTCTGACAGGGATCACAGTAAAGGGCCTTGGATAGAGTAGCAGGGAAATGAGGAACAAAACTCAAAATTATATATATATATGTATATATTTTTTTAAAAAAAGAGCACCCAAACTTTCTGGTCTGATGGACCAGACTGGTGGAAACCCCGTGACTGGAACTGAACTCACTCACCTTCTAACCAAACAATAGACAGGCTGAACTCTAAAGTGACAGACAATAGAAGGTAATGAGTAACACCAGGAAGGAGTACACTCCTTGGAGCCATCAGCCATACAAGGGCAAAAGGGCATTGGCAGCCTCGGCCCAGGGATAAAGCACAGAAGGCAGGGACAGAAAAGAAAGACAAGTGGAAACCGGAAATGCAGAGAGGAAGTGGGAAAAACGCTGTCAAAACGTGGAGACTGGAAGCACCGTTCACACACATAATGTGGAGGAATCCTTGAAAACTAATTTGCTCTGTCAATTTTGAGACGAATTGTTTTTTAAAAATCTTATTTTGCTTTGATGAATGAATAAAATTTACTGCTGGTGTTTCTGGCAAGGTACAACAATCAGGTTGTCCCTGTACATAAATGTTAAACATGTGTATGTGACAAAACTTTGTTGGTTTTGGGGGGGAGGTTTTAAGCTATAGCCTTTAAAAAACCCCTTGAAGCAGTCCCACTCTTTCCTATCGGCTCGCTGTGGGTTGGAATCCAGCTGGTGTCACGCAACAACAGCAGATTCCCCCCTCCTTTTTTTTTTTTTTTAAGAA